CACCGAAACGAGAAAAATAAGTTTTAAGATGCTTAATTAATTCAGGAGCACTAGTGGTCTTGCAAGGAAAGAGGGAACAATGATTCGAATAAATGTCACACACAAGCAAACAATGAGTAAAGCCATTCTTTTGCGTAAAGACGTGACAGTAGTCTATCATGACGTCATCAAAGATATCATTAGCACTACGGGGGTGGAGGAGACCAAATTTCTGGTTCGTGGCTTTAAATTGACCACACAAGGTACAAGATCTAACGTACTCTTCAATATCTGAGTACATATTGTGCCAAAAATAAAATAAGGAGATTGACATTTGCAGAATTTTAATACCAGAATGTACTGTTAAATCATGAAAATTCTGAAGAACAAGGGGAACTAATTTTGATGGAACAACTGTACGAGGAACTTTAGTATTTGTAACTAAAAGACCATTTTTCATTCTAAATTTTGGAACATAATGCAAGAATGCAGCAGGGGAGTTATCTCTAGCCAAAAGGGACTGAATAATTTTACCTAAGTTGGGATCACGTTGTTGACACTCAATAAATTTAGAAGTATTGGGAAAAGGGGCGATGTCTGAAGGAACCGGAAGGTGCAAAGAAGGAGGGGGAGGGGGGCGCAGTTCAGAGCGCACCGTCATCAAAGCAAAACCAAGTATATTGGCGGAGGGATTCTCAGAATTTATATTACCATCTTTTCCAAACAAATCATCAAAATCAGAATCATCCAGTAACATTTTATCACCAGTCGCTAACAGTTGAGCTGCAAAAGGAGACGATGGAGCAAATTTAGACCGCAAACAGGCCATTAATATCTCAAATTTAACAAAATTCCAGTCATTCCGAAGGAGTGTGAAAGCTAAACGGTGGCGCACTTGAGCGGGGTCTAACTCCGCTGCAATGAAACGAGCATTGTGTGGATTACTAGCTTTAGAAGCTTGAAGAGCATGCTCTAAAGATGCATAAGTGATTCCATTTAATTCTACTTGACACGGATATAAATGTGACAAAAAGCTATATTCATGCTTGAAACCTATAATCTTCTCTGCATTCGGATCATAGAGCAAATTTTCAAATTTTGGCGGGCTCAAGGCACGCTCAGCAGGCACAGAGGCAATTGCAGGTGGCACAGGGGGAGGAGGAGAGGCGGGACGGAGAGAAGGGGCGGGAGGAGGAGGGGAAAGAGGGGGTGGGACGGAGACGGCGTCGCGGAGTTCCGAACGAACTCGCATGCAATAGTCACCGAGAATGCTGCGGTCTGGGTGGTCGTACGGAAAACTACAAGGATATATTTTGCAGTTACATTTTCCAAAAAGTACATCAAACGGAGAATTGAAATCAAAAAGTGCACTATTTCCAGTAGACAATAATTGATTAGCCAAAATAGAACCAGGTTTAAATTTTGAACGTAAACATGCTAAGAGAATGTCCCACTTAACAGTGTCCCAATCGGGTCTCTGCTGGGAACGCAAAATACGCGAAGTGCGTCGGCCTCGGCCAAGACCGGCAGCAGGCACTTCTAGGGAGAAGCTGCGCCGAGCCGCTTGAAGAGCGTCGACGAGGGAAGGGTAAATTTGATCATTAAAAGTAACAAAGCAGGGAAAATCTGCAGAAAGATAACGAAATTC